ATTAATATATCATATTGTAGTGAAAGTATAATACTTGGATGTAAGGATAATTCAATAAAGATACCTTAAGGTAAAAAGAAAAATATTCCCAATAAGGGTAATATTAAAGATAGTCACCAAGAATTAATAGTAATTTAGTGATAGAGATAGGATATTTTTGTAAATTGTAAGAAAAAAGAAAATTGGGAAGGCTATATAAAGAAAACAGGAGTAGTAGAATATACAATCAAATTGTCAAACACAGCCGTTCATGACCATGTTAAAGGATAAGAGTTCACTCAAGTTCAGTCAAGACTGAAGAGGAGCAGAAATTCAAAAATAATTTCCAAAGGATGACAATTCATGCAAGTTCGTGAAGGATCTAGATGAGTTTAAATCTACTGCGGTAACAGCATTTAGGAAATAGTTCATTGCTTTAGTTTAACAGTATCTTTGGCTTTCTAAATTTAATAATCCTAATTTTTTCTTGTATGCATAGATGCAATCTCTCTCTCGCTCATATACATATATATATATATATATATATATATATATATATATATATATATATTATGTGTATATTATGTATATATTATATATTATGTGTATATTATGTATATATTATATATTATGTGTATATTATGTATATATTATATTATATATTATGTATATATTATGTGTATATTATGTATATATTATATATTTATTAGAAATTATGTGTATATTATGTATATATGTTATGTATATATTATATATTATGTGTATATGTATGTATATATTATATATTATGTGTATATTCTATATTATGTATATATTATATATGTACATATTATATGATATATTTATATATCATGTATATATATATATATATATATATATATTATATATGTATGATATATATATATATATGATATATTTATATATATATATATATGTATATATGATATATTTATATATGTATATATGATATATTTATATATTATATTTATATATATATATTTATATATTATATTTATATATGATGTATTTATATATATATATGATATATATTATGTATTGTTTTCAGCAATTTTTTTTTTGTTTTTTTTACATGATTTTTTGAATAACAATTTTTATAACTTGGAAATAAATTTGGGAATAATCAAAATTATTGTGAAATCCAATGGAAGTCACCCATGAAATAAGAATAATTGTTTGTATGGAAAGTAAGGACCTACACACATCAAACTGTCTTTAAATTAAGTGGTAGCAGAAGAATTATTGTTGAAGAGGTAGACTTAAACATTAATTCAATACTTAAATGCAGCAATCTATTTTGAGTTCATCTGTAGTTTCTTGTTGCCTATTACTATACTGCAATTGTATGCCTTGCAAAAAGAAATCTCCACCAACAGAGGATGAGATTGCAATAAAAAAACTAAGGCTGAAGTGAGGAAAAGTTCCACGCAACTGAAAACTTAGATGAAATGGTAGCCAGGAGAACTTCCAGTGCTGAGAATATGCCAAGATTTAGGGACTCTCAAACTCCTGAACAAGCTGAAGACCCAATCAAGAGCACTCTAGATGAGCTTGCTTAAATGCTGTCCAACTTATTAGATTAAATAACAACTACATACTTTTTTTTTTTTTAATGGATGTATACTTATTCTAAACAAGCAAATGTTTGTCAGGTGAACTTTTTTTTTTTTACTTATTTTTATAAAATATTTAGATATGTACATTGTGAAAGAAGAAAAATTTACATCAATTAACAAAAGTAAAAAAAAAAAAAAGAAAAAAAAAAGCAATATTCAGATGTAAGCACATTTTCAGGACACTGCATTTGTAAATAAAAAGAAAAAGTGTCCAAATAATTCCAGATACCTCAGGAATTAATTTGACAGGATATCAATATTGCAAACAGGAAATCCCTTCTAAATTTAATAAAAATCAATATTTTTTTTTTCTGACAAATGCCAGTTTGAAAAAAAATTCTAATGAATGTAAAAATTATTTTCTGAAATATTTTTCCCTATTTTTTACAAATGGACCAGTGTATTTAATGAATGCTAATTTTTGTTACAACATGGTAATTTTCTAAACATAGCTTAGATGTGGCACAAGGCCAAAACTCTGGGGCACCCAGTGAAGCTCAAACTCACTATTCAGTTGTAATTGATCTTGTGAGACAAGCTTGCTAACCATTATAACCATGTTGAAGTGTCCAAATAATTTCCTAAGGTTAGGATAGATGTGACACAAGAACAAAAATGCAGAGCACCCAGTGAGGATAGAACTCACTATTCAGTCATAATTGTTCTAGAGAGACAAGGTTGTTAACCATTACACCACATCAAAATGCTCAAATGTTTTGTTTCAATATGGTATAAATGATAGCTTGGATTTGTTTCTTGATAGTTGTTAAGTATAATTGATCATATTTTGTACAAAATTTATAATTAAATCCATTTTTTCTTTCTTCTTTTTTTATTTTGACTCTAGTGGAAGGTTATGAAGTGGATTTGAGTTCCATGAAGTCGGTGCATAAATTTGCACATGATTTCAAATCGCGTCGACTTCCACTTCATATTCTTGTCAATAACGGTAAGTAATTTTTTTTCATTTTGTTGATTTCCCAATGGGGGGAGATTAATTGCAAAATTTTTTTCTCACGCCTCATCTTATAGTCAGAAGGACACAGAATGCATTTGTCTTAGCCAATAAAATGCGATGGCTTGCATGACTCAGTCCAGATCTGCTTTAACTACTAGACAGACATACTGTGTTCTCTTGATCAAACTTTCTTTTTTGTACAAACACCGACTCTTAGTTTGTGAATTCTTTTGCCTTCTTATCAATTTTGATTTGTTTTAACTAAATTGTTTGCTTGCTTGCATGATTGTTGTTGTTTCATCTTTTTCATTTTTTTTATTGAAAACTTCAAATTCTTATCAATAATGGTAAGTAATTTTTTTTTTTCATCCAAAAACCAAACCTAAAAAAAAAAAACAATTATCAAAAGCTGTAATTTTTTTTGTTTTTGGTTTGTTTTGTTTTTTCTATTTTAAGAGTTCTTGCATCAGATCTCTTAATGCAAAGTTTGGTCAGAAAGTATTCAGCTATTTAATATGGAAAAGAAAAAGAAGCTGTGCTAGAGTTAGTTTTGCTCCACACCACAAATTGCTATAAAACTAAAACATCAACCTGAAAACTTGAGTCATGTACTTAAATACATTTGCCAGATCAAAACTTTCATATGGATGTCATGCATGGTGCCAAACCTGTTCAGAAATAACTAAACCGCTCACTAAGATCAATGGTGGAAAAAAGGCTTTGAGTGAGTAAAGCCTGAGGCTCTTAGCAAAGATCATCCTTCTTTGAACATTATGGACTGGGGCTATAGAATCTTAAATAAAGAACTGTACCTAATAATAGAAATCACATCACTTGAAGACTACCAACAGCAGCAGCAACTAAAATGGATAGCACATTTAACTTGAAAAGAAAGTAATAACTTAATCAAGATGTTGTTATTCCACACTGCTCCAAATAAAAAGTTAGGAAGGAAACCTCCATCAATACTGGAAAGAGCAATAACAGCTACTAGATTGTATGCTCTGTGAAATGTCAAATGTTTCCTTATAGGAAAACAGCTAATATTAGCATTACCATTAGTCCCCTTCAAAGTACTTTGCTTGCGATCTTACTCACTTATGCCAACATCTTTTCCAAACAGAGGGAAGTTAAAAATATAAGGGATGTCCGAAAAGTATCAAGCCGTTTAATATTGAGCAGGGGGAATTAAGCCTACCTAGGGTAATGGTACCTTAGACCCCTTCTAATTACTCTTATTGTGACCTTATACACTTATCCTGGCATAGTTTCTATCAGCTAATTTAATCTTATTGACAGTCTATAATCTCCATTTTAACCAAATATATTAGTGTGACAGCATAATTGTGTCCCTTGCATAGTTTTTCACTAACTAGACAGACAAAAACTAAATCAATTTGGGGAGAGTATTAGAATAAAGGGGAGGCATGGTGGAGTTATGAATATTTTATCCACTATTATTTCAACCACTAGATTGTTCTATTTCCATGTGCCATGCCTCTTCCAGGTGTCTCAGTTATCTCCCTTTAACTCAGCTCTCCACATTTTTTATTCAACACTGCCATACTACTGTACTGATGCGGCATTCACCCTGGGCAGATTGAGCCGGCTTCTTCCTGTTATGAGAAGAAGATTCTTGGGATAAATTACAGAAGTAGGGTACCCAGGCCTACTGGGATAACGTTCTTGCTTGCTGCTGGGTTCCCACAGGCATGAGAGACAGGAAACGACCAGAAGCCGCCAGTTACCGATGCAGACGCTCCTTGGATTTTCACAGAACCCTTGTTAGTCGGCGTGTGTGTCAGACCTGTCCCCTTGGGTGGCCCTACCAGGAATGAAGTTCGGACATAGCTCTGACACTACCATCTACACCCCCCCACCGACTGTGAGGTAAGGGTTGGACTTTGGGGGGCTTACAGTACCAGGTGTTCCCAAGCGGTCCCCATCTAAGTACTGACCTGCTCTCACGATGCTTAACCGGTGATCAGGCGAAACAGTGTTTTCAGCGTGATTTGACCATAAGCCATAGGCAGGTATTGAACTCACAAGGTCGAGTCATTGGATCCCACCAACATTTTTATCCACTGGGCCATGTGTCACTGAGGACATAGGTATATGAATTTTCAGGACTTATAGACTAAATGTTTCAATAAGCTTTTTTTACTAAAGCTCAGATTGCAATTTTGTTGTTAATATTGCATTTCTCTAGCACTCCTTATTACTGCTTGGCCACCTTAGGAGATTTTGGTGGCTTAGCATATGTGCTGATTCCTTAAGTTTTCGTATTTTCCAGTGATTTTCTCTGTCTATTTCAACTTCATCTCATGAAGGTGGTGATCTCCCTTTTCCCTCCATATGTAGTCAGCTATGCCTGATTTTTCTATTTCCCCCTCATGTTATGGCTTGCAGTCTTACCTTAAGAGGGTGGCCTGTTTTCTCCTTTATATTTCTTACCATAGCTGCATGGGATGGCGTACACACAGTCCTTAGTCATTTTCTCCTCTATGGGGGAGGTGGTCTTACTCAGCCAAAATGTTGTGAACATGACAATACAATGAGGACAACAGTTTAATGTAAATAATTACAATACCTCATCTCAGAAATATAGACAGATATTGGCTCACTGTGTCGTACTAGACAATTTTTTTCTCTAGAATCTATCTTACATATTTATATGTTTACCATTTGTCTATGGTTTGAATATTGCTGCATATATGGTCTGGTGCCTTTGCTATATATTTAAAGATTGTTGATAAAATCCAATGAAGTATCTGTAATGTTATTATTCCTGTTCTGATATCTCTGCTATAGTCCATTTCCCATTGCTGTCACATAGTTTCCATCTGACGTTTTTTACAAATACTTTCATGGTAATTGTTCTGATGAACTTTCTTCTATGGTACCTAGATGCTATGAATTTAAGCACAGTGCTAGATTTACAACAAGGTTTCATCATTTTACCGTTGAACTGGTTAGATGTAACCATAGCTTCTTTACTAACAGTTTCTTTTCTCGCACTTCTCGCATGTAGAACTGTCTTCTTGCTTTCCAACCAACTTTGATCTTCAAAAATTCAAATGCAGTGTCAATCGCTATCTACAGTCTTCTTGATTCCTCCTCTTTTAATGTTCCCACTCCTGTGTCTTAGTGGCTTTATTACCGTGGTTGGAGTGATATGATAAAAAAAGTAATATCTAAATTTTTGCACATAAAACATAATCTCTTAAAGAAATATTTTTTTTTACTCGTCTGGTATATATGTCATGCAATCATTTTTCCTGCTGTTTAAGGATTTATCTCTCTTTTTAAAAGGTTAGACAATTTCTAGCCTTATTTAAAAGAGCATTGTTTATTTTACCAATCAGTGTGTTGTCATCAAATTAGCTGACTCAGCACACCTGTGATTCATTAAGCAAAGGTTTATTTCTGTTTATTTAAATAAATTTATTCTCAACACTTGTGTATTCTCATCTGAGGCCATCAAGATGTTGTGACCAGAGTATAACTTCCAACTATTATCAGCTTATTAATAAATGTCCTTTCTCTGACCATTAGCACCTGTGCTCAATTAGAAAATTCAGTTTTAATTAAATTGATTGCATTAGTAAGAAGGGATACAATGTCCAGTTTTTGGTCATTTAAAAGTCAACTTTTGCAATACAGTCTACCTACACACACTTCAAAATAGGCTGGCTTCCCCCGCCACTTGGAAGATAGTGAAATATGTTTGTCACACCGCCAATTGGATTTGTGGCAAATGTAGCAAATATTAAGCAAAGGTTTAAAGCAAAAATAAAATCCTGCCACTTGTCAAGAACCATTATATATTTCCCATTGATGCTAGATACCGATGTTCAAGCTGACAGAACTTTCAAGTCTGATTTTCAAAGCAGGCTGGTTCACCCTACTCGGAGGATAAGTCAGCATAATCTTCCTACATGGTTTTGGATTTATGCTATATTTAACAAAAATTGGGATGTTTTAATCTATTAATGCCCACTGTAAATTCTGGTATTTATTATGAAAATTAAAAAAAAATATATGGAATTAATTCTTGCTTTCTAAAAAAAATATACAATATTAATAGTCGGTTAATAAAAATCCAGTATTAATAATTAATTTTAGGGTTTCCTATTTTAATATTCTGCTGAATCTTAATACTTAAGTTAATGATTGAAAAAGCTCATGGAAAATTCTCTGAAAATAAAATGTCCCCAAAAATTCTTCTATCACATCATCAAAATTCTCTGACAATAAAATATGTCTAGAAATTCTTCTGACAATAAAATATGCCTAGAAACTCTTCTGACAATAAAATATCCCTAGAAATTCTTCTATCACATCATCAAAATTCTCTGACAATAAAATATCCCCAGAAATTCTATCACATCATCAAAATTCTTTGACAATAAAATATGCCTAGAAATTCTTCTATCACATCATATTTGAGCTTAACAACTTTAACAAGATATTGCAATAACAATCCTAAATAGGAATGCTGGTCATTATTTTAAGAAGTAAGAGGGTACAAATAAAAGATTTGAATTTAACAAGTTTTTCCATTTCGCTGAAACAGCCTTTAAACACTTCCATCTCTTTCTGTCTTTCTTTCATTAATTTTTGCACTGTAACCAAGTAGTGTCTTTTCCGTCTTTACACACAATCAGACAGAATAGTCCATTATCTATGAGGTATTGGCAGAAGACATTAAACATTTTTCTCTTCCCTTCTTTCTTTCATTTTCACACTGAAACCAAATAGTGTCTTTTCCCCTTTTCCACATGTTCAAAACAAAATCGATCATTATTTATGAGGTATTGGCAGAGTGTAATGGTTATGCAAACTAATAAAGGATGAGATCAAGAACAATTATAATACAATACTTTCTGTCTGTATTTCTGGGGTGAGGACTTATCATTATTTATACTATTTATATTTAAACTGTTATCTTCATTTCTATTGTTATCACTACATTTTGGCCATTGTTCTCT